CCAGTGGAGCTCCCCCTGCTGGTCATTACACAGAATGCAGGTTTAAGACACTTCACAGGCCTGAAAGCTTTGTCTTTTAAAAATACTGTCAATGTTAGTGGCCCAGTTCAGGCACTGCATAACTTAGATAAGGATTTTTAGATTGTTAGCTTTTCGTAAAAGTTTATAAATGTACGGAACAGGACATTTAACATTTGAAAAATAAACTTGATGATTGATTAAAATGGCAGTGTGTAGGATTTAGTGGCATCTAGTTGCAGAAATTAACTAACTAAATGCTGCTTGTGTCTGTTTTTGACAACCTGAGAATGAGAGTGTGCAGGAGAAACTACGGTGGCCATGACAAATGCAAAATCCCCTAAAAGTCCAGTACACAGAAACCCAATCAATCATAGGCAAACAAATCCAAAAGGACAGAGGCAAAAAGGACAGGCTGATTAAATAAACCCAAATAACATCAGACACAAGAGAAAGCCTGGAAAACTTGACACAAAGGACGAAGTTGAACTGGCAAACACGGGGAATTTACTCTGCAGGTGAGACTAATCAGACACAGGTGTGGACAATAAAGGCGGAGCAAACAATTACAAACGGCGGGAAACCTACAAGGGCAGGAAGTGAAGTGACCTGAAACCAGAAGGAGAGGTAAATACAAAATAAACCAGGAAGTGAACGTGTAAACTAATGAATAAGTAAAGAAACAGACTTTATAGCAACACCAACCTGCAACACAGTGACAAAACGCTGTGCATTTGTTTGCCTGTGATTGACTTGATTCAGTATCCTTCATTAATTACCGCACAAAAAAACGCCAGCAGAGAAAATAAATTTAAATAAATATGATTATATATTATAAATGATTATGTCTGAACTTTCCAATGTATTAAACAAATAAATAACCTCAACATTCATCAAAATCAGCCCACTGGGAGTTGAAATATGGCCACTAGTTGGTTAAAATTCAGCATCCTCTATAACCCCCACACGCCTCCTATATTGTCCAAATTGCCCAAGCAGTTGCTAAAATATTGTCCATATAGCTGATTATGCTAATTGCCCAACATATGCAAGTTAGCTTCTGGCAGTTTGTAAATACTGGAGACTCATAATGTTCATTTCTAACAGAAAAGTCTACTATAATGACAACATATTTCTGCCAATAGACCCTTTAAATGTTACACACGGCACCTTTAAATGAGCTAATATCCAATATATCGCTTCAGCTTTTGGTTCTTCCTTTCCCGCCTTTAACTTTCTGAGTTTATGATGACAATAAAAGTACTTTTCGACCTCAGACTGCATCCTATTTGTCTCCTCCTCCTGCTCTCCTCTCACTTCTCATTCATTTGCATGTGAAGGGGTTTCACGTCGTATCAAACACTCTGGACATTTACATCATAAAGATTTACATAAGGCTCAAATGTCTGCAAACTCTATTCATGCAAATGTAACCGCAAAGAACATCCAGTCCCATTTCCACACTCACCTCGCCGTCTCCAAGGTGAGCACGTCTTTGAGCACCTCAAATGGAGATTACTGTGATTACTCACTCAGCCAAACGGTTTCCATGGCGACGGATGGTAATTAGGCAGTGAGCTCGGGGGAAGGGGGAGGAGGTTTATAATATTGTATTTCTGTCCTCTTTGCTCGAGGTGTGATATTAGGCTGTCAGCTAACAGGGGAGAAAAGGGAGACGTGATTGCAGACAAGGAGAAAATATTTAGCAGTTTTGGTGTCAAAGCTGTGGCAGATCACTGACGCTGTGCAGTTACACTCGGGGAGGCGCACAGTAGGCTCTCCTGTACCAAAACCCGGTCTGAAAAGTCCTCCACCGGGTGAGGAATTGATGCAATTCACTCTCACGTTTTCTGTCAGCCGGCTGCACCTTCCTCTGGCAATTCTCCAGTTCAACTTATTATTAAGACCTTTCATTACTTTTAACTTTTAAAGAGCTTCTGGCTTTATGTGCGTCTGTGTAGCTTAAAACCAGACAAACACAATTCTGTGTCTTAAAATAGCCTTAAAACCATTTGTTTGATACCACAATAAGCTAATATTAATTGAATAAGTATAATAATAATAATATTAAAGCTGCAGGCAGCGATGGTCGGGCTGCAGTCACGTCACATGCCAGCATCATGTGTAGACCACATCATGAAAACGTCACATAAGTCAGATGATGATCGTTACACCAGCCTTACTTCCTGTTTGCCAGTAGAGGCCGCTATGAGTATGACTGAATATCAGCATGTAGATGTGTTCAGGGCGGGACTCTTCTCAAACGTGTGAAATTTGGTGGAAATTGGACAAAGTACACTTTAGTTACTTCCTGTTTCATGTTGAAATTCGACGCAAACACAAAGAGCACAACTGTTAATCCTGATGGCGTTTGGATTAAACTGACCAAATTACCAAAAATGACCATTAAAATCAACCGACTTCCTGTTGGGTTTGGAGTCCAAAGAGGCTTTTATGTTCGTCCGGTCTGATACACGTGTTCCAACGTTCAGTTTCAGTTTGTTTCCTCTGTTAAAGACATCGTTCAACATTTCAGGAAACGCCTCCGTTGCTCTTTCTGAAGGTGACATAAGATTATAATGCCCAGTACACATTCACATTATTATGATTTTAATAAATGATCATTCCCAATAATCGCAAATCAAAACGCAATATCAAAATAAACTCCATGAAACATCTCGACACGAGCAATACATTTCCCCTGTGACTTTACAGGCACCAAAACAGGAAGGAAGCTGTTTTCATTGAGGAATGGTGCAACTCTGCGCTGAGAAATTGAGAATATTTAAACTTTTTTGTGCACTAAAAGAACAGCTAGAAAAATGTGTCGGCTGCAGAAGTCTGTGTTTGACTGTGTTTGACGCTTTGCTTGAACCACACTGACTGATGTGAACTGGTCTTCTGTTTTTCAGGATATTAACTCTGTGTATCAGATCTTCCCGGACGAGGTTCTCGGCTCGGGACAGTTTGGAATAGTCTATGGAGGTAAAACACAGCCGGGCACATAATTAAACATAATGTTAATCAGTCTCTATACGCCAGCTTAGGCTGTATTTCTAGACTGTAATACTGTAATTTTCACGATGTAGTTCACTTTAGCTTGCAATAAACTATTATTTTTCAAGTGGAAATTCGGGTCAGACTCAGGCCCCAAACCACTTCTGTCGTTTTTGGGTGCGTTCTTAAAAACTGAATTAAACTGCCGAAACACTTAATATTTAGAAAGCAAAGTACAAAAGACTTTTTCTCCAAATAAAGTACAATAAAGTAAAGATAAATAATAATAAATACAGTACAATTACCTCAAATTTGTATTCAAGTACAGCAGTGGAGTAAATGTACTCAGTTACTTTCCACTACCGGTAACAGCTGAGTGTTTGTGTTGTTGACTTGCAGGTAAACACAGGAAGTCTGGCCGAGACGTCGCCATCAAGATCATCGACAAACTGCGTTTTCCCACCAAACAGGAGAGTCAGCTGCGTAACGAGGTGGCCATCCTGCAGGTACACACACACACACACACACACACACACACAGCGGCGGCGCTCAGGAGCCTGTTGACAGTGAGTGAGACTTCCTGTTGTGAACGCCTTCATTACCGTGGCAACACTGTGGGGGTGTGACATCCTGTAAGCGCTGCTCAACCTGCCACACACACACCTGCACATAAATCACTGTGCACTTCACTGCAGGTTGCAGCTTCCCTCAATATTAATGCCCCAGCAGACAGACGACGCTCAGTATTTAGAGCTGGAAAACACAAACCTATATACTGACGCAGCTGCTTTTAATATGGGACAATGTCCTCAATTAAAGACACATAGCTGCAGTGGTGGAAAGTAACTAAGTATATTTACTCGAGTACTTTAAGTACAATTTGAGATACTTTTAGTATTTTCATTCTCTGTTGCTTTATATTTCTATTTATTCTACTTTTATTTGATAACTTTAGTCACATCGTACATTACACATATTAGATATTTACCAGCTGCAACATTAAAGCTGATAGCTAACTGGTCTTGTTATTAAACAGACTGTCAAATGATATCAAATTATATTTACTTTTTGTCGACCGTACTCACTGTTATTGACCCCTTGACTTAAATCTTGCTTGCATAACGTTAGCTCTCCTGCTCGTAGCACAAGGTCAGTCGGGCGTTATCCGTTTCCGTTATCCAGAATTTCTCCTCCTGTCTCCAGAGTCTGCACCACCCAGGCGTGGTCAACCTCGACTGCATGTTCGAGACGCCGGAGAGGGTGTTCGTGGTCATGGAGAAGCTCCACGGAGACATGCTGGAGATGATCCTGTCGAGTGAGAAAGGACGACTGCCCGAGAGGATCACCAAGTTCATGGTCACACAGGTGATACACAGGTTCCAGTCCATCCTCCCGTCCATAAGCAGATGAACAGGAGGATGAACCCTGTTTGTTTTAATTACACTGAGACCTTTCCTCTAGCGCCACCCTCAGGACATTTTATACACTCACACGTCCCTTGAAGAGTTCTTACAGTTCATTATTATTAAATGTTTTGTTTTCCGTCAGATCCTGGTGGCTTTGCGTCACCTCCACTTCAAGAACATCGTCCACTGTGATCTTAAACCCGAGAACGTCCTGCTGGCTTCTGCAGACTCATTCCCGCAGGTACTGACTGTATGGATTATTTATTATAATTATTATAATAGTTATTATATTAACTGTTGAGTCTTTTTAATGTGAGTTTCTTCTTGACAATACAGTGCTCGCTCACAGACGGTGCTCAGCATTTATCGGACACTCAGCCGATTCTTCTGATTTACTGAATAAACCTTTTAAATTTAGAAAACTTTAATTGTATTTTAGCCTGCACAGTGGTCATATTAATGCTAGAGGAAAGCTGTAGTCAGTAGACCTTTTTGACATGAAGTAGTAGGGTAAACACAGGTGTTACCAATGATAATTAAGGCTCTGTTCCATTTAGTGCAGCAGAGGGTTTCCCAGTGAGCCAGTGAGCTACTGAGCTGACAGGGAAGTGGGAACAGGTGGGAACAGGTGTCCAGGTGGGCGGTGGGCGGTGGGCGGGCACAGGTTACTGCAGGGCTGGTGGGAGTGAACCAACAGGAAAAAAATGTGAATCCATTGTGACAAAAAAAAACCCTGAGGAGGACTCGTATGAAGCTGGAAGATACGAGACAGTGAATGCAGCACGGAAACATTCTCACCAGCCTTCATAACACAAACCCATAAAAGAAAAAATATATATATATATATA